CACCCCGGCAGCCAGCGCCTGCTGGCCACATGCTTAAGACAGGTCCATCACACTTCCTCTCAGGAAATGGTAATACTAATTATAGTAATTAAAAAAACACCCTGCCGTTGTCAGGAAACACCAAGAACTGAAATAATACAGGATCACGGCAAGGCCCTTCACAACCAAGAGGCAGCAGACATGAGTCAGGGCAGCCCCAGATGCTTCCCAGCCCCGGCCTGGAGCCTCTGCTGTCCCAAGGGGTCTCCGGACAGCTGTGCCCCAGCGCCTGCCCAAACACATCCTGACAGCCCGGGAGTCACTGATGCTCGTGCACGGGGGTCCCTCCCCTGCCTCGGCCTGGGGCCTGGTCAGCAAGGCAAAGCTGAGTCGAGGCCTCTCTGGACGAGGAAGAGGGGATGGGGACAGAGAGCAGGGGTGCAGGGTGGCCCCCAGTGTCTGCCCATGGACGTGGCAGCACCCACAAAAGGAAGCAGCCCCGGCCGTGGCCTGGCCACATGGCCGAGCAGGAGGGACAGAGGGTCCGTGGTGTTTCAGGGGCCATAAGGACCCATGGGGAACTTGGCCACACAAATGGAGCCAGAGGACAAAGATCCCAAGTCCGAGCAGCTCCCGGGGCTTCCCCGCGGGGCTCACCTCAGGTAGCGGCGAATGGGCTCGCAAGCCACCTCCAGGATGACCATGGAAGGGTCTAGCACACGCAGGGCCTTGATGGCGGATATGTAGAGGGTGATGATGTCGCATGTGTTGACCCCTATGGTCAGAAGGGAGAACGGTAGTCACAGCAGCACCCAGGGGTTGTCCCATGAGCAGCGCCCTAGCCAGGTGGGTCTTTAGGCCACCACTGTGACCTCAGTCCCCAGGATACCAGTGTGACCCCCAGGATACTGCCCCTTTCTCCCCCACCTCTCATGTGCTTTCCCTGGGAGCCCTCCGCTCACTGGGCGGTCTGCCCAGGCCACACCCATCACTCCCCAGGACTCTCTCAGGGGAAGATGAGGCAGAGCACCTTGCTCCTCTTAAGGACTGCACAGACCCACTCCCTACACGGGCCCCGACGCAGGGGAGGCTGGCCACCTGGGCAGCAGCTTGGGCACCTGGATGGAGGAGCCGCGTCTCCAGGGCAGCCTTGAGGGACAGGAGCAGCTGCTGCCTCTGGTCAGTCCTCTCCAGGCAGTACTTGAGGTCCTCAATGGCTGGCCGGGAGTCTGGGAAGTCTGCAGGAAGGGTGTGGGCCCTTGCACACACGTGCTGTGCACGCAAGAAAGGACACAAGGTGGGCAGGGCCCGGAGGGTGAGCGGCCGCGCCTCCACTCAACAACGAGAAACACCTGCCAGGCGCTTCAGGCCATCCCTGGGCCGTCATGTGCCCTCCACCCCCACAGGGCCCAAGGGCCAGCACAGAGCAGGGACGTGAGGCCGAGAGGAGGAGGGCGGAAGCCCAGAAGCACCGTCTGGGGGCAGGCCGCACTGGCAGGCCCGGCTTTGCTTGAGACACCACTGTCCTAAGGCCCCTGACGGGCTGCAAGATCTGAACGGTAAAGGCACAGGGAAGGCGGCTACTCCAGCGGGTAGGGGGCCGACCTCGGATGATGCTGAAGAGCTCCTCGATGCGCAGGCTGGCATAGATACGGTAGAAAAACCTCTGCACGTGGCAGCGCCAGCGGCGCAGTGTGTTGCCGGCCTCCGGGGACGCAGGCCTGGCTGGGCCGTCCTGCAGGAAGACCTTGCCAAGCCAGCCGACCACCCTCTCGATCCACTGTCGGGAGAGCACAGATGTAGGGAGGTGAGGAGCTGAGCCCCAGCCTGACACGGAGCAGAGGCTGGGAGAAGTCACGCAGCCACCCACTCTGCGGCCAGTCCTGGGGAGTCCCTAAGGCCACCTGGAGGCTAGGAGCACATCGAAATCAGCAGAATAATGGCTCCCATGTGGGCATCCCAGGCCATCCACAGGTGTGCTCCCACCCCCGATGAGCATCAGTGCCCAGGCTTCTCTCTGGTGACAGTGGCCCTGATGTAGGGGCTGGAGAGAGTGCTCACCCCTGACCTGGGGGAAAGACGCACCCTGGGGGCCATGTACCTGACTGGCCCCACCACAGACAGACAACATAAGGACACTTCTACACAAGGACAGACTATATGAGCACACACGTATACACTGACAGCCAGTGCAGTCACACGTGCACTAGGATGCATACGGTCCCCGGCAAACCACACAGCCACTGGTGAGGACATCTGGACACTCTGCCACCAGGGGCAACACAGGTGCCCCGGCCAGGCCTCTGGGCTCACACCCACTCCAGACTGCTGCTGTGCGACACTTGCTTTGAATCCCCATCACAGCTGATCTGCACCCTCGGGAGGCAGACACGAGGAAATGGCGGAGGACACACAGGAGGCAGGAGCGGGCTGGAGAGCCCCAGGCCATGCCCCAACATCATGGGCGCCCTGAGGCCCCCCCACCGGGACACCCCAGACCTTGGCGCTGCCTCCAGCCAAGTGATTTTGGACAGATCTCGCTGAGCAGGTCACAAGCTCTTTCTTGCTGTCACCAGGGCAGGCCAGGGAGGGCCAGCTTCCACCCGGTACCAGGACAGCTTCAGCCACCAGCCAGATCCTCGTTCATCCAAGCCACACTCTGGCTGCTCCTAAGACTACAGGGTGTCAGGCCTGCCAGAACCCTCTTCTACGGCCGCCAGGGAACAGGGCCCGAGGGCGTCCTTACCTTGTGGAACTCTCGCAGGAAGGAGCGCTCGTACTCGCCCCGACAGCGGTCCTCCATCCTCTCCCTGGTCACCTGGTGCAGGGTGGTGGTCACGGCCTCCGCGCTGACCCGCTCCAGCAGACTGAGCCTGTGTCTGGAGGACAGCCAGGCTCGTGGGGCACACTCGTCCCCTCACAGCCAGTGCCCTCCGTGCCAAGGGCTTAAAGAAGAAGCTGCCGGGGAGGACAGAGCCCTGCCTTCCCTAGCCGGCCTCTGTGCCCAGGTGAGGCCCTGGCCTTCCCCAGGTGAAGAGTGGGTGCGGCTCTCAGGGTAAAACCGCATCCCCTAAACGTGGCTCTGAAGCAACAGCTAACTGTCACTGCCTTGACCCTGTGAGTACAAATGGTAGCACAGATGGTATAGAGGCCACCAGTCGTGCAGACCCTGGCAAGCAATGGCAAGTGAACTCGAGAGAAAACGAGAAAGAACATTTCTGTGCACCTTTCACCTGGGATGAAGCAGCAGAAGCCATCCAGGGCCTCCCTGACCCTCAGCAACAGGCCCCTTCCCTCAGTCCGGCTAGAAGCCCCTCCCCCTTCCTAACAGCTCCACTGCTACAACTTCACACAACGTGACAAGATCATTATAAGCAACCACAAAGGAGAAAAGGCCCACAGATCAGGACCCGGCTTTCACAGTGACAACAAAATCCTTTCCTCTTTAAAAGGCTGGAAAGGCAATCTGCTTGCCCAGCATGTTGGCCTAATCCCCAACTTGTACTGAAAAGAATAAAAAAAAGCAAGCCCACCTTTTGCAATTACAGGGGAGGGTGAACATCACCCCTTCCCTAGAGAGCCAGGAGAATTCTGTGCCTAGAAGGCACAGCAGAATTCTAGGTGGCCCAGAAAACTTGCAATCACTGGGGTCTCAGAGTAAGCATAGTGTGAAACCCAGGGCTAGTGTGAGTGGCAGACACAACTGTGTCTGGGACAAAACGTATAAATCCACAGCACAGGGGTCCTGGGGGCCGTCCCTTTGGCATGCCCACGACTATGAAGGCACACATGCCCCCCCACCCCCACCAGCTCACCAGCTCTCTGAAGCGGCCAGCTGGACCCAGGAAAGCAAGCAAGGGTCAAGAACAGAGACGTGAGTACTCACAGGACCTGGCTGAGCTGGTGAAACTGCTCCAGGGCCTGGCGGCACCAGCACTGCTGCTTGTCACTGCCGCATCCCGCACACAGTGGGCTCTGCAGAAGCCGGTAGTACCGGCGACGCGCATACCTGCTGTCCAATTCCCCCTCTAGTTCCGGGTCTGTGCCCCCTTCCCCCTTCCTCTTACTCTGCATGTAGACTCTCAAAAAGCGGCCATAGAGGCGCTGAATCATCTCCTGAAAGGTTCTGGGCGTGGAAAAGAACAGGACGCCCCGCAAGGTGGTGTGCACTTTTTCCCGCAGCCCTTGAGCGCCTGCGCCCATCAGCAAGCCCAGGCGAGTCCATTTCTCCAGCAGCTCCAGGCTATGCAGGTAGGGATCCAGGCGGCTCTCCAACAGGCCGAAGGCGTCCAGGAGAAGCAGAAGGCACTGTGGCTCGTCTGCACAGTTCTCACGCTGGGAGATGGTGTTCCAGAACTCGAGGGAGATGCTGGCCTGCAGGTCGTTCTGCAGCACCTCTACAAACCACTCCTCCAGGACCGAATGCAGGCCGTGGGCCCTCAAAACCTCCACTGCCGCCCGGAGCTCCTCCTCCTTCGGCGGCACCGCACCGCTGGTCCGGGAAGAAGCCTGGAGTGCAGAAACCGCGAGAAGGGAATACAGAGTAGCGGTGGGAAGGGCACTGACAGGCGGGGAGCAGCGAGGAAGGGACAGGGCGGAGGGGAAGCTGCGGAATTCCCGCGACCCCGCGTCCGCGACGCACGGATGCCTGCCCGACGCTAGGGAAGGGCCGCCTCGGAAGCCGAACGAACCCCAGGGTGGACGTCCCAATGACGCGCGCAGGGTCCCCGCAACCCCGCGCGGGCCCGCCGCCCTCTCCCGGGGCCTCACCAGTCCCAGCGCGGCCGGCGGCACCAGCCCGGTGCTCACGGTGTTCCAGGCCGCCAACAGCTCCTGTGCAGGCCCGGGGTCGCCGTCGCGCGCCGCCGCCGCCGCCGCCGCCGCCGCCATCCGTGCCCACCAGCTCCCGGAGCCTCCCAGCGCGGCGCGCGCCGATGACGCACACGAGAGGCGCGCGGCGGTGACGTTTAGAGGGCGCGCAGCCAGAGGGCGGTGCGCAGGCGCGAGCGGCGGTGCGCTAGCGGCGGTTGGAGCGGTCGCGGCCCCAGCGGCGACCATGACCCAGCAGGGCGCGGCGCTGCAGAATTACAACAACGAGCTGGTCAAGTGTGAGCGGCCGCGCGGCGGGGCGGGCCGGGGGGGCGCGGGGCTCGCCGGCCCGCGGCGCGTGGCCGAGGGGGTGCGTGGCCCGTGCCCGGCGGTCGGCGCAGCGCGCTCTCTGACCCCGAGGAGCCCTGGGCGGTGGGAACTTGGCCTGGCGGCGGTGGAAGGTGGCCGGGCCAGTCCCGGGCCTCCCGCCATCCTCCCCTCCCACAAAGCGGCGGGCTCCAGAGTGAGAGGGGTGCCGCCGCCCTCCCCGCCCGGGTCCACAGCGCCCGCTCCGCCCGGCCCACCCTAGGCATCGAGGAGCTGTGCCAGAAGCGAGAGGAGTTGTGCCGGCAGATCCAGCAGGAGGAGGAGGAGAAGCAGCGGCTGCAGAGCGAGGTGAGGCAGCTGACGGAGAGGCTGGCCCGAGTCAACGAGAACCTGGCGCGCAAGATCGCCTCTCGCAACGAGTTTGACCGGACCATCGCAGAGACGGAGGCGGCCTACCTCAAGGTGGGACTCGGGGCACCGCAGGGGCCTGCACGCAGGGTGGCCTGGGGCGCCCACAGGCAGAGGCAACACTGCTACAACGTGGTCGAGACCGCTGCGGGGTGACGGGGGGGCTGCCCGTGGGCCCCCCCCCCGTCCCAAGCCCTGGTGTTTATATCGTGGGTTTATGGCTCGTCCCAGACCACGGGCAGAGGGTGGCAACAAGGGCCAGAGCTGACCTCGCCTGGCTTCCCCGGGGGCAGGGAGAGGGGCTGTGGGTTAGACGCCCTACTGACTCTGCCCGACCCTCCCGTCGGGCCTCCTCTCCCTGCTTCTGCCCCAGGAGTGGCCACGGCTTGGTGGGAACAGAGCTGGGCTGTGGGAGCCTCATGGAAGGGACAGGGTCAATCACTCGTGTCTCTGTTTCCAGATCCTGGAGAGCTCGCAGACTCTGCTTAGCGTCCTGAAGAGGGAAGCTGGGAACTTGACCAAAGCCACCGCCTCGGAGCAGAAGAGCAGTGGAGGCAAGGAGAGCTGATGGGGCCTTAGGTGGGGAGGGGCCTGCCTCCCCACTCCCTCAGTGGCTCTGCCCCCAACAAGTCTGTTTTCAAAGTGTCTTTTTTCATAGTAGCAGCCACCTCCTTTCACTGTCTCGGGTGCCGAGAGGCAGTTGCCCAGCTCCACCTGCCCCGGGTGACAAGTAAAGCCCTGGGCGCAGCCCTCCAGGTGGGGGTATCGGCCCTGTACTCACAGGATATGGGGAGGACAGGCTCTGGGTCCGTTGCTCTTGGGGCTAAGGTCCCCACACCCCCCGGGGCTGCCAGAGAGGCCCTGCTCCCTAGTCTCACCAGCACAGCAGCCGCCTCACCTTGGTGCCCAGGCCAGGGGAGTAGGGGAGGGGCTGGGGCCCGCCCCCTCAGAGCTTGCCCTGGTCTGTGACGTTCAATAAAGATCGTCTTTGTAAAGATATCCTGCTGCCCGCGGCCTGCGGCCTGTGTGGGAAGTGAGGCTGCTGCACATCCGCAGAATCAATGTGAGCCCAGCTCTATGGCTTCTTGGCAGAGGGGGGCCTGGAGTGGCTTTCCCCATGACAAGCCTTGTTGGCTCTGGGGACAGAGTCCAGGGTGCCCTTGAGCATCTCCTGTGACCTTGTCGCCCACTCTTGCTCCCCCCAGGGCTGCAGGCCCCCCGGCCCAGCTCCAGCACTCGGCCTGCCCTTCGGGTGGGGCTGTGCTTGTTGGTCCTGGTCTGCGCGATGCCCCGTCACCCAGCAAGAGGGCTGTGCCCCGAGAGATGCCCTCTAGCCAGGGCTGTGCCCCAGCTCCAGAATTCTAAACTTGGCTCCGCCCCACAGGCCCACCGCTTCCCACTCTCCCTGGTCACACCAGGCATGCCGCTTCCGGCCTCCCACGCTGCGCGGGCCCAGCCCTCCATCCCGAGTGGCCAGTCGGCTCCTACGGGGGTCCCTGCAGCTAGGCAGGGTTGGGAAGCATGTACTGAGAGGGTCTGGAAAAACCTGGGCCCACTCCCCCCAGAAAAACACTAAAAACACCCTCCTTCCCGAGTTTGGCCGGGCAGCCTTTCTCACAAGCTCGTCTTCAGGAGGGCCGTGCTTGCAGTCGTGGCCTGGATTGTAAGCGGCCCCAGCTCCCCAGCTCCAGCTGCTGCTGAGCAGGCAGCTCTGCGTCTCCTGTTCCCTCTGGGGATCTGCCGGGTTTTCCTGCCAGCCGCTAGCGCTGACCCCAGGGAAGCGGTCTCCCTGCTACAGACCTGCTGCAGCCTCCTGTGGCTCAGGCAGCTTTCCAAGCCACACAGGAGGCGAGATCCCCGAGCTTTCACCCGCTCCTTGTCCCTCCCAGTCTCTCGGCCTTTAAAACTGTTGTGGTCCAGCCAGAATGCCAGATCCCAGAGAGCAAGCCCAGCGTGCCCTTCCCCCGATGCAGCTCCCACTGTGTCAGCCCAGAGACCAAAAGAGCTCACAGGAGGGGAAGCAGGGCGCCCAGGGCTCTGGGAGTGAACGCCTGAGCCACCAGACGGCGCTGTGTGGGGGTGCCACACAGGGCCACCCCTGTACCCAGGCACGGATGTCCTGGCCGGGCTCCTGCTGTACCCTCCTCGCTGCCAGGTCCCCACAGACCCCACCCCTGCTCCCTGATCTCAGGCCAAGGACCACACAGGGAAGGCAGAGGCAGCCTTGTCCAGTGCTATTTATTGAATCCATCATCAGAGGCAAGAAAAAACTTGCCATTCGTGACAAAGGGGGTGGGGTGAGGTCTGTAGTTGGGGGGGGGGGGGCGCTGGGAAGGGCTGGAAGTCCCCTGGAGGAGAGGCAGCCAGGCTAGCCCTTCACACGTGCACCAGACACCTGCTGGCATGGTGTCCAGCAGGACCCTGTGCATCCTCCATAGGCAGCACCCCCAAACCAGGGCTGGAGAGCGAAACTCAGCCCCAAGGGAAGCAGGAGACCCCGGTGCCCGAGGCTCAGGCCAACCCCAGGAAGGAAGGGTGGGATATGGCGGGGCAGAGCCCAACAGGGCGGCAGGCGGCGTGTGAGTGCGTGTGTGCGCGCACACAGAGCAAGGGGTGGGCCTTCTGGGCACTGCCCGTCTCCTGGGGCTCAGCCTTGGCCATCCTGGCAGGGTCGGGGTCAGAAATAGAGGGCTGGCTCACTTCGGAAGTCTGAGAGGTCGTTCTGACTGGCAGGGGTGAGCTGAGAGAGAGGGACAGAGAGGGAGCTGATGGGACTCATCCAGGCGTTAGAGACAACCCGCACCCTGGGCCTTGGGTGTTGGCCCTCCCAGCCGCACCCCTGCTCACCATGACCTCCTTGGGTGTGGGCTCCACCTCACTCGGAGCCTGCTCCAGTGTCTGCTCCTGCCATTTGCTGAAGGCCACGGAATGCTTTGGAGTGTAGCCGGACAGGCCTGCGGGCCAAGAGGTACACGTGTGGACGTGTGGCGAGGCCACCCGCTGGGCCGCCCGTTCCCACACGTGGGCACTCACCTGAGCTGCCGTCCGGCAGCTGAGGGCTCTCGGGTCCCATGCTGTTCGCAAAAGTGGCTCGGGGCAGAAACGGCGAGAAGGGCTCCTCCTCCTCCTCCTCCTCCTCCTCCGCCCCCTCCTCCTCCGCCCCCTCCTGGGCCTCCGCCTCCTCCTCCTGAACCAGGGAGCTCTCGGGGGGGTACTCGAACGTGGTCTGCAGGCGCTTGTCGTTGAAGGAGATCTTCATCTAAGGACAAGGAGGTACCTCAGCAGGGCCCTGCTGCCACCAGGGGTTACTTAAGCCAGGCCGACAGAAGGGCACGCAGAGGCTGTTCGCCCCGGCGGGTAGCAGAATGTGCCATCAACCCTTCAGAAACTGAAAGGTGGAGGGGTCGCCCCTCATCGGAGAGCACTCCTTCACCTGCCCCCTGCGGGCAAGGACCCCATAAAGGTTGGCCTGGCTGCCTGCGCAACCCAGGGCCAGTGTGTCCAAACACCTGCATCCCAGACCCCACCCAGCCCCTCCTCACCCCAGGCCCAGGGTCACATCACCTCGGGTAACCAGCCCTGCCCAGGGACCAGACCTTAGCCACCACCAGGAGCCCAAAGTCTCAGGGTCTCCAGAAACTTCTATGGCAGCTCCTAGGGTTGAAAGGCTGCCTTCGCAGGGGGCGCACCAGCCACCTAGAGGCTCTACAGCAGAAGCAGGTGAGACGGCACTCAGGGGGCCCACATACTTGGGCGCCCCACCTCCTCAGCCACCAGCGGGGTGGCTGGGGTCTCTCCCCAGCACCGCGTTCACAGCCTGGCTCGCAGGGACCTGAATGATGTGCCTGCACAGCTCACATGGGCACCGCTGCCGTGCAGGACAGGGCGCACCCAAGGCCAGGCCCCCAGGGCCCCCATGAGGTGACAAAGCAGGGTGGTTGGCATATGCCGAGCCCCAGGAGGGTGGCACCAAATGCCATCACGCTGTTTTACAGACCGAGTCAGAATTAGACCAAAACTGCACCCGAGGGGGGCTGTGGCGGCCCCTCCCTCCCGCCTGGGCGGCCTGTCTGGCCCTGTCCCCCGCCCACTCTGCAGGCTGCAGAATTTCACACCCGAGCAAATCCTCTTCTCTCCCGACGGCCTCGGAGTACAGACCAAGCTGCCGGCTTGGAGAGGAAGCAGGGGCGGGCGCAAGCAGATGGACCCTCACGCTCCCTGACGGGGACTCCACCCCCGAGACAGCCACAGGCCCACCCGACTTGCTGACTTGCTTGGCCGGCCCGGCAGGTTGGTAACGAATACGAGAGGCTCCAGCCTGCAGCAGATGGGAGCGGCCCCGCAGGAGCCCGAAACATTAAACTCCGGAGCACAGGACTCCAGCAGCCAGCTCAAGTTCCCCCCCGCCCCCGGAAGGAGCCGGGGGCAGGAGCTGGGCCCCTAGGCAGAGAACGTGGGCCCGGGGACAGCAGGACATGCAGGGGCCTCACAGGAAAGCTGGACTTGCAGCCTTGGCAGCAGAGGGAGCCCCAGCACTGGCCTCAGGGGGCAATGCCAGGCTGAGCGAGTGTCCAAAACCAAGGGCACGTGCTCCGCCCCCCGCCTCCTCCCGCAGCCGCACATGCACACACAGACCCGCTCGGTCATGGGCACCCCCAGCTCCGGTGCTTCCCCATCCCAGCGTGGCTCGCACACAGACACCCGCTGGGCGAATCTCAGGCCCAGACCCAGTGCTCTCTGCCCCGGCCAGCCGCACGTACAAGCGGTCAGGGCCATGAGCGCACAGGTGCAGGTCACCCGAGTCAGGCAAAGCCAAGAGAGAAATACTTGCTCCTGTCACTTGAAGGTGACACTGTTCCTCAACCCGCCCTGTCCCCACGGCAGGCCCCACCCCGCCCCCAGCCGAGCAGGACAGAGGCCCGGACCCGGCGGCCTGCCCCTCACCCGAGGCCCCACAGTGGCTGTGGCGTCCGGTCACCCCCGGGTACACGGCATTGTCCCCAACGACCCTGAGCCCTCCAGGCCCATCCCCCACCACCGAAGACACAGGAAGGGCTGGCTGCCAGGGCCCGGCCGGATTAGCATGCCCTCATTAGTCCACATGACCAGTTTCTAGCGGGGAGACCGAGGGGGCTGGGCACACACAGGCACTGAGCCTGGCACAGCCTGGCCGGGCAGGGGCGGGGCAGCGCTCTGCGCCCAGCTGGGGCCCAGGGCTCGGGTCACATCCGCCTCCCTTCAGTCTCCACACTCCAACGGCCTGGTGGGGCTCCAGGCCTCCTCGTGGGTGCAGCTCTCTGAATCACAAGACACCCTGTGACAAACGCTGCTGGGGAGGGGCCAGCCTCCAGCCTCCAGGCAGATGGGCCGGGTGTGGCCAGGGGCTGGCACTTGCGCACACCTGGCTCTTGGGGACTTTGCCCTCTGTGCCAAGCGTAGTCGGCAGGTGGGTCCCGGCTTGGCCCACCTCCCAGCCCTCACAGGCCCTTTGTCCCCCTCACCCTGCCCTACCCGAGCACACCCAGCTTGGATTACCAAAGGGCGTCCACCCTGGACTCTGGTCCGGCAGCCGGGTTCAGCCGGCCCCCCTGCTGGGGGGCCACCCACCCTGTCCTCACTCCCCCGCGCACACCTGCCTCCTCCCATCCCCCACTCAGGCTGCGTTTGGGGGGACAACGGCACCACCACACACAGCCTCTGGCGAAGCTCCCACGCTGCTCCCTGATGCCCCAGGTCAAGGGCAGCCCCAGCTCAGCGCAGACCCCCTGGCAGTGGGGCAGCTGAGTGGGAGCAGGGCCCAGACGGCTCCAGCGGCACCTGGGCCATAGGAAGAACACTTGGGGTGGACGCCTGCAGGAAAAGCTGGGGGTGGGGGTGGGGAGGGACAGAGGAGACGCAGCCATGACACCTCGGAGGTGGCGGGCGCAGCGCTCCACACCGGCAGGGAGTGGGGTCGCTAGGAAGAGCCGGTGGAGAAGCAGGTGACTGGCGGCAGCTGCGCCACGGGTCTGGGGACGGCAGCGAGGCTGAGGGCCAAGCCCCGGCCAGCGTGATTGGGATGTCGGGGTGGCAGTTACACCGCAGGTGAGGGCAGATGGCCTAGGTGTCATAGATCGAGCCCTGGGGACACTGACACACTCAGGCTGGGCAGAGAACCAGCTAGTAAGGAGGTGAGGAGGGCGAAGGGGAGGGAAAGGAGCCGCCAAACGAGCAGGAGCCTGGCCAGGTGGCACCTCACAAAGGGGAGAGGCCCTCGCACCAGCCACCGACCCCGCGGGAGGCAGGTGTGGAGAACAGCTGGCCAGTCCCACTCCGCAGCACAGCCTAGGGGCTGGGGCTGGGGCAGAGGTGAGAGGTGAGAGCAGCACAGCAGCCACCCCTGCTTGGCCATTAAGGGAGGAACAGAGATGGCGTCAGCAGTTCTACCAAGAGACAATCAAGTGGGGACGCCCCCCCCAGGCAGGTCTCCCCGGCACACTGGCCGGCTGGGTGCCCCGACCACCAAGACAGGGCTACAGCCCTCCAAGGCCCAGCAGGGTCACAACACCCTACACGCACCTGCAGCTCAGGGGCAGGCTGCCCTAACCCCTGCCACCCAGACAGTCCCTCTGCAGGGCCATACCTCATCTGCCCCCTGGGAAAGACCCCAGGACCTCCCAGCACGAGGCTGGTCAGCCATTGGGCCCCAAGGGCCCGCTAAGCTCCAGCCCCCTAAGTCCCTAGTCAGAATGGGGGCAAACAGAACAGTGTCCAAACCACAGGCTGGCTGGAGCCGTATGGGCGAGGGGGGCCCTGCAGCCCAGGGCCTGGAGGGATGGCCGGAGGACCACCAGGGAACAGGCAAGAGCCAGCGGACCGCTCCGAAGCACCGGGCAGCCCCACGCTTCTGTCCCACTCACCAGGAGCCCTGGCTCTTCCCAGGCACGGCAGCTGGTGCGGGGGGTGGGGCAGTGCTCACAAGCCAAGAGCCACCTCCAATAGGTCCTGCTGCTCTGGCAGGGCCCTCGCTAGGTCACCTGGCCTTGCCAGGCATCACCCGTCTGGACCCCCAACTCCCTGAGGCTGGCGTGGGGGCCGGGCCAGGGCCTGCTTCCTCCCACGCTTGTCACCCCAGCCCTGCCACACGTGACCCCGCAGCTCTCTCCCCAGTGGGGGTCCAGGTGAGCAGGGCTCTAGAAGCAGAAACCAGCACTGGATTCCTGTCCACCCTCAGGTTCCCCATCTACAAAGTGAGGAGCCATTACCACCTCCACTTTTGGGGCCAGAATGGAAAGGTACCGCCTCCTAGAGTGTAGGGTCAAGGGTTAGGAAGCAGGAGCAAGGGGAAGGGGGGGCTTAAAGCCTGGCGGTGGGGCTGACGACCGTGTGTAAGGGTAGGAGTGAGGGTGGGAGGGTCGTGGCCCTAGAGACGGTGAGTCAAGGTCAGGCAGGCGAGATGGGCCCACCGGAAGTACCAAGGGAGTTGGGCGTGGATGCCTGTCTCAGCAGATGGAGCTGGCAGGAGCCCCGATGCCCTCGCCCAAGGAGGAGGGCATGATACATGGAGGAAGGGCAATGCCAAGTCCAACTCATGTCAGAGAGAGGAGGTGGCTCATGTGATTGGACAACCGGCAGGCATGGGGGGGGGGTTGTCCATGGACACAAGGCACATCACCGCCCCCATCGCCCAAGGCAAGTGAGGACGGTGGCAGAAGCGGCTTCAAGGGTGAGCCTGGAGATAACCACTGGCTGACGGAGAAGACTTCCAGGCACCATCTCGCTTCCGGAGGACACATCTGCCCCCCTGCGGATGGGGGTTATGTGGGGCTGGCCTTGGAAGTTGCCCCAGGGCCAGACAGAGGTGCTAGAATGAGCAGGAAGAATCTGAGGAACGGGGTGTGTGTGTGCGTGTGTATGCGCGTGCGTGTGCAGGAAGAATCTGAGGAACGGGGTGTGTGTGTGTGTGTGTGTGCACGCGCCCAGAGGTTCCGGGTCACTGGGCGGCTGGGGACTGAGGCTCCTGAGGGCTCCTGGTCTTGCACGTGGGTCTCTCTGCCTGAGGCCCATCCCCCCACCCAACGAGAGGGAGAGGTTACACTGCTCCCAGCATCGCACCCCAGGCCTGGCACACACACTAGTTCAATAAACACTTGCATGGAGCCGGGTTCTGCTGAGCTCCAAGCCAGCGTGCCTTCTGGGGCGTAGACAGCTCCCTCCTGAACGGCTCCCAGTGCTGTACCCCTAGGCTGACAGTGGGGTAGGGATCTGACCACAGCGCTCTTACCCCTTCCCACTTCTGTCCTGGCACCTGTGACCCACGTAGGCCGGGACTCTGGAAGAGCACACCAGGCTACACCCTCACAGCCAGGCCGGAGCGGCACCAGCACGCCCAGGACTACTTCCTCCAGCCGGGCCCATGGGGAGGCGGGCCTGCCCTGCCAATTCCACATGGAGCCGCAAGGACAGGCCGAAGCGGTGCTGGCCGGACTGACTTCCCACCAGCCTTACGAAACACACCACACGCAAGCTGTCTCCTCTGGGTCACTGGGGCTCTGCTGGAGCCCAGGCCAGGGGTCTCCTCCAGCCCAGCCCCCACCCCCCGGAGCCCAGGCCAGGGGTCTCCTCCTGCCCAGCTCTTGCCTCCCCCCACCCCCACGGAGCTTGCATGGCCCCCCAGCCCAGCCCTCCTCTGGTCCACACAGAATCCACTCCCCAGCCAGGCCAGTTGTCCTGGGAAGTGGGCACCTGCTATACCCACAGCTTTCTCTGCCTCCCAGCGAGTGCCCCTCCCCCATGCCCCCTGCTGACCTTCTTTCTCGAGGAGCCAGCCTTGATGAGACAGGATTTCTCTAGGGCCAGGTAGCCACCGATCACCTCAATCTCGTGCACGGTGGGATAGCGCTTCCTCAGTGCAGTCCCCAGGGCAGCAGGGGTCTCCAACAAGCTGCCTGCCTCCTCTTCCTCGGCCTCCTGTGGCCTGGGGTCCCCGTTGGCCTGCAGGGACCCCGGCTTCCTCTTGGGCACCACGGTGAAGGTGTTACCACCTCGGTGATGGAGCCCTGATGGGTGCCCAGGCCCAGTGGGGTGCAGGTGATACCAAGGAGGCCCCGTGGCTCCTGAGCAGGGCAGTTTGGCTTGTTGGGGGGCTTCATCCTCCGAGTCTACCTCATCAATGAAGGTGACGGGCAACCCTGGCCTCCCAGGCTCCCCATCATTCTTGGCCGAGCCGGGAACCCCAAGGCCCTGGGCAGGCTTAGCCTCCGCAGCAGCCAAGGGACACAGGGGTGGTGAGGGCAGCCTCTGCTGCCTAACAGCCTGGTCGACGACGGCGGTCGCTGGCCTGGGGCACCCCCCGTCCTGGACTCCCAAGAGGCTCCTCCCTCCAGCAGGCACGCTATCCCTTCCAGGCACCAGCTGGGCTTCGGGCTCCAGGCCTTCCTCTCCCTCTGGCAGCGCCCCCACCTGCCTCCCTTCAGGACGAGGGGCCCCAGAGGCTTTGCGCTTGGGAATGAACGTGAAGGAGTTTCGAGAGTTCACACGGAGGCTGGCCAGGGCCCGGGCCTGGAGGTCCCCAGCGGGGATTCGATCCATGTCTGGCTTGGAAGCCGGCCGAATCTCGAAGGAGTCATTGGCGCTGGTGGCCGCAGAGACCCACCGGCGCTGGCTGGGAGTGGCACTGGCAGAGTTGGGCGTGGGCAAGGCCAGCAACGCGGCTGGAGTGGCACTGGGGGTCCCGGGGCTGGGGGGCGGGTGGACGGGGGCGTCCCCCGACTCCACCTTTGGCTTCCACTCGCCCGGGCCAGGCGCAGAGCCCGCGAGGCCGTTGGCGGCACCGGTCCGGGACTCGGGGGCCGCAGGCCCGTTGGGGAGCGGGCGAGGGCCAGAGCCGTGGTGCAGGCCCCGAGGGTGGACGGTGAAGGAGTTGCTGCCGGTCTTCTGCAGGAAATCGCCGCGCCGCGCCCCGGGGCCCGAAGCGCCGCGCTCGGGCCCGAGGCAGGCGGCGCGCTCGCCCACGCGCGGGGCGGCGGGGCCGGGAGGCGGCTGCGGCTGCGGCCGCGCGGGGCGGCCGCGCTCCGGACTCCCGCGGCGGGGCGGCGCGGCCGGAGCATCGAACTTCTGGAGCAGGCGGCTGACACGGCCGGCGGGCGGCGGCGCCTCATACACGAGCACCTCGGCTGCGCGGAGGCGAGCGGCCGGGCCGGGGCCGAGGCCGGGGCCGGGGCCCGGGTCGGGGCCGTCGGGCGGGAAGCCGGGCGCCGACTCGATGATGAGGATGTTGTCGGCGCGGATGGTGCGCACGCCCGGCACGCGGCGGTACAGCTCCAGCAGGTGCTGCACCGGCCGCGCCCCCGCCGGCCCCGCGCCCCCGCCGCGCCGCGCCCCGCGCCGCCGTTCCGATTCGAGCCGCATGAACGGGTTCTCGCGCAGCGGGCCCAGGCTCTCGGCCAGCACCAGCCGCTCGGCCGGCGGCTCCGAGGGCTCCGCCGCGCCCGCCTCGGCCCCGCGCCCGGGCCCCGCGCCCCCGCCCAGGGCGGCCAGCTTGGCCCGCTTACGCTCCAAGATCTCCCGTTTCCAGGCGGGCAGCGCGGCGCGGGGCCCCGGCCCCGGCCGCCCCAGGCCCGCCATGCTGCGGAGCGGGCGCCGCAGCCAGCGCGCGCCGGGAACTGCGGCCGCCGCCCGGCGCCGGCCTTCTCGCCGCGGCCACGCCCCCCGCCCGCCGTCCCCGGCGGGGGCCCCGCTCGGCCCCGCCCCGCGCCCGGAGGCCCCGCCCACGGCCGCGGAGAACGGCCGGCCGAGCCGATTGGAGGCCGCTCTCCGCGACCTCTCTCCCCCGCGGGCCTAGCTGGCGGGCGCCCGGCTCCACAGCCGGTCTCCACTGGGGAAGGGCCGCTCGGACACGCCCCGACCCTTCACTCCGCTCATTGGCGGCCCCACTTCCGCCTCTGCGCCGTCGGTCTTCAGCGACCCGCAGGCGGAGCCCGGCGGAGGCGGGGGCGGGTCCTGGCGGGCAGTCCCAGCCGGACCCCTGGGCCCAGCGCGGTGGGTGACCTTGGCTGGCCTGCGTTCTTCCTCATGGTGCCAGCACCCAGACCACCTGTCCTCGCGCTCAGAGCGCGGTGGGAGAAGGGCCTGCCCCGGAGGGGAGAGCTGTCCCCGCTCCCGTGAGAGGCGCACGGGCTGCGCACCGGCCTCCTGCCTCCTGGCTCAGGGACTGCCCACCTGTGGTCCTTGGTCTTCTGCGGACGTGGTGGAGATGCCAGTGCCGGAGACCACCCAGTGCCGAGGAACTGGTTTCTCAGGAGCCCCTAGCGCTTGCCAGCGCCCGGAACTCCCTCTGTTACTCAGACGAGGGGGAAAAGCGCTGCCCCACACATTGCCATGCAGGGCCCGCCAAGCAGGGACAGGAGTGCAAAAGCTGCGAGGAAGGGCAGACAGAGCTCCCTGCACACAGCTCCCTAATGCAGAGCCACAAAAGCCACACTGTGCATTTCCCCATTGCCTCCCCCACACTACTCCTCTTAAAATCTGCGGAACGTCCCCCATCCCAAGGCTGGAAGGGGTGCCGGTGGCCCCAACAGCACAGCTGCCTTGCCCACCTGCCATGAGGAAGCTCACTCCCAATTGAGGGCTGCACAGCACCACCACACTCTTTGAGGCCCAGTGGAGCCAAGGGGAGATGGGGAAATTGGGGGGCATGGATGCAGAGAGGTTACTTGCCTTTCCCTCCCCTCTCCCGGTAATGGCACTACTGCTGCTACATCACTCACCTTTCAGGGACAGGGCTCCAAGGACACCTGGAGCTCTGCGGAGACTGGGGGCAGGTTTCAGCCTGGGGTGCCCTTCCAGCTTCTGGGTCCCCTGGGGGTCTGCACTGACTACTCCTTTCCACTCTGGTGAGCCGAGAAAATAAGCCAGATTTCAGCTTTCAAAAGTCAAGCGTTTCCTTCCTCGGCTCTCATCAAATCACCTTTCCAAGGGAAACGAAGCCTTCACATGCTCCTCACTTCTACAGCTACAGGATCACTCAGTCCTGAACTACAGAATACAACACGATACGACAACACATGCAATCTAAAAATAACAGTAAAGGAAAAAACCCCCACTCCTCGGGCACTTGACTTGGTTGTAGGGATTATGTAAATGCACTTTAATAAATAAATAAAAGAAAGTCCACTCCCAGTGTTCAGCTTGTATCTGACTTTGACACAAATTACGCCGATACTGGGTAGAAAACATTTTTGTAGCTGTGGGACAAACCAGAACAGTCTCCAACTCAGGCATCTCAGGGGTTCAGGCCACACAGCATCCATTGTAGGCAAAGGGTCACAAAGCTGCTTCTCTAGAAGCTCTGCAAATTTGTTCTAGAACAGGCTGGACAGTAAATATTTTAGCCTTGCGGTTCTCACCCGGGGCAGTTTTGTCCCCCAGGAGACTTGTTAATGTATGCAGACACTTCTGGTTGTCCTAAGTGAGGCGTGCTACTGGCATCTAGTGAGTAGAGGCCAGGGATGCTGCATTCTACAATGCTCAGAACAGCCCCTCCCCCACACATCAAAAAATGACTCGACCCAAAAGGCCAAGAGTGCCAAGTTGGAGAGACCCTGCACACTGCAGGCCACATTCACTTCCCGTCACACGTTCTTCATTTTTATCTTTTGAAAATGTAAAAATTACTCTTAGATGATGGGTAGTACAAAAATAGACCTCAGGCCATAGTTTGCTGGCCCCTGCTCTACAGCAAGGTCCACAAAGGCCACACACCGGCTGGAAGACAAGTTCTGATGTCACACAAGCTATTCAGCAGGTCCTTAACACAAGCCTACCCTGTTTTTTGGTCTTCACCCTGGCTCCCCGGGCAGGAAGCAAGGATTTGCCATGGGACCCCCCCCCCCCCCCCGCCAAATTGGCCAGTGAAGCTCTAGTGCATTCCAGTCTCCCAACCATCAGCTCTGTAGCCAACGACATCACACAGCAGGGACCATCTCGGCAGCCACCTTGTTTCACCCTCAAGAGGTCAGGCAACCACTGCGCATCTCAGGAAAACATTCTCTTATTTTATTTTTATCTCAACAAATGTTCTCATTTGGCACCTTAAACTAAAGACCTCAGGCCAACAAATGTGGGCCAAGACCATTTGCAAGTCTCAGTGCATCTGAGCGTCAATGCTGCTCCTCTGGCTTGTCCCTTAAGAAGGCCTAAATCTGTCTCAGTTGTGCTAACAGTGCCGGCCACAAGGGGGTGGTGGAAAAGCTGTGGACGAGACAATCGCCTGGGATAGGAAGCCAAGCAGCACTTCATAAGCAAAGTTTTCTCAGGCGACAGATCTCCAAATAGGGTCCCAGTCATGCTTTTTCCAACATATTCCTGTCCGCCTGGGCTGGAATGAAGAAGAGGCCGCCATTCTCCCCAGTGGCTCAGGGGAGAAGACACAAGCTGGTTTACACGTTTTAGAGCTCAAGCATCTAAGTCTTGTCTGGATGGATGGGGCAGTGAGCTCTTAGGTTAGTCCTGCTCTGGGCAGAGGAAATCCACAAGGCCGGCTTTGCAGCCTTTGCACAGGGAGTACTTTCCCAGGATCCATAAACATACTCAGAGCCATCAGGAGATTTTACTGTCAGAGGAATGGCCTGGGATCCTTCTCAGGATCTCAAGTCAGGGTTAGCTATCCAAAGCATCAAATAACAGGAAATACACTTTAAGGATCAAGGCTGTTCTTTTTAGCCGTGCTGAGGAAACAATTTCAGACATGATTGGTATAAAGAAAATTGGGCACTCGCCAGGGCAGGAGCTGGCTTTCCTTTAGACCCAGACCTCTCCTTTCGTACGGTGGAAGTAGGAACTCAGCTTAGGGTCCCGCATTGCAGCTGTCCAGAGTTCTCTCCCGCCTGAGGCTAGTTGACCCGACAGGCACGGATCATGAGCAGCTGCAGGAGAATAAAGACCGGAGACGTGATCAGGCCGAACCAGAGCTCCCGGGTCTGCTCCACCAGCTTCTGGCACAACAACATCTCGAAGACAAACTTGAGGCTAAGAACCGTGAGGACCCAGAAGAGTCGGAGCACGGCCAATCGCTTCTCTCCGTCCTGGAAGAGGCGCACCGACACGATGGTGGTGAAGTAGGTGCTGAGCCCATCAGCGGCGAAAAAGGGCACGAAGACGTTCCACCAGGAGAGGCCGGGGGCCAGGCCGTCCACACGCAGTGCCAGCAGCACGGAGAACACCAACAGGGCCAGCAGGTGCACGAAGATCTCGAAGGTGGCGAAGCCCAGCCACTGCACTAGCTCCCGGAGTGAGAAGAGCATCGCGCCGGTTGAGCGCGGGCCGGGGTTCGGCCGCGCGTCCGCCCGGCAGGGCTGCACCTCCCCTCCCCGCGGGCCTCGCCGGGACCCGCCGCCCGCGCCGCTGAGGCGAGCAGGAGGCAGCGAGCGGCTCCGCCTGCCCCGGCCCCCGGCCCCGGCGGGTCGCCAATACCCCGGCCCCGGCCCGGGACCTAGCACGGGCCGCTAACTGACACCCAGCCCCCTCGGAAGCCATGCCCTGCCGGGCGCGGTGTAAGGGCGTCACTTCCGGCCATCACCGGAAGCCGGAAGTCCAAGTCAGTCCGGGCCGTCCCGGCTTGCGGGATCTGCTGGCTGGTGCGGTGCCTGGGTGCCGGGGCCGCTCAGCGCGCCCGGATGCCGAGCCCGGGGCTTTTGGTGCTCTTCGGCAGCCAGACAGGCACGGCTCAGGATGTGTCGGAGAGGCTGGGCCGCGAGGCTCGGCGCCGGCGGCTTGACTGCCGGGTGCAGGCTTTGGACTCCTACTCAGTGGTGAGGGCGCCCTAGGGCCTCGGCGGTGAGACCCAGCGGGCCGGGGGCGCCAGCTCCCAGAGCCCTCGACCGCAGGGCACCGCATTTTGTGTGAGAGACGGCCCTTCGGTTATGGCGAGTTTAGGGGGCAGGAAAAGTTGGGGACAGTGGCTTAGCACGTGGAGAAGCAGGCAAGGTGGGAGGGTGGGGCTGAGAGGGCGAAGGCAGGCCGGCCGCTCGCGGGGGCTCCGTGAGTCCGTTTGCGCAGGAGAGGGGGCCAGGCTGCGGAGAGGAAGCCTGCTTGCTACAGCCGAGGTCCTAACGCCTGTGTTTTTTTTGTTGAGGTGAATCTGATTAATGAGCCCCTGGTGATATTTGTTTGTGCAACTACAGGCCAAGGAGACCCCCCTGACAACATGAAGGTAAGGCTGACCTGAAGGCTTTCTTTGCTCAGAAGCTCAGATCACTGCCCTGGACCCTCGCTGTTGTCATTGCCTGGAGAGCCCATGAAGTACAACGAACAGTTGTCCTTCTGTATCTGCTGCACGTTAGCGGGGGATTTGGGAGGGAGCCGGGGGCTCTCCGTCCTCGCTAATAAACTCTTCGCAGGCCGCTAAATAGCCTTGTTCTCCATTTTAACCTTTAATATTTTCTCCAGGGCTGTATATGAATCTGTTCTGGGTCTTGTGAATATTTCAAAACTGTTGGACCTTCCTCCAGGAACATTCTTCAATTCCTTGACCGTCTTTTGAGCGCACATTCTATTCCAAACATGATCTAGTGCTGGGAGTCCAGCCACGAGCCTATTTCTGTCCTCAGGGAGCTCACGAGGTAGCAAAAGCAACGGGTTTAACAGGCAGTTACCAGAGAGAAGACACGTGCTGCCAGAGAAAGCGCCGGGCGTTATGAGGACATTAATAAAAGCCATCTAGCCCGACCTTGAGGCTCAGGGAGAGCTTTCTGGAAGAAAGGAGTATAGGCTAAGTCCTGAGGATAAGTGGGGCCTAGCCAGGCACCAGGGAACTGGAAGCAGCCTGTGCAGAGGAGAAAGACCGCCTGAGGGAAGAGCAGAAAGCACTTGAGGAAGACGGAGCCAAGGAATGCACCGGGGTGGGAGGGGAGAAGGGAGGCAGGAAGCCAGACCTGATCCCAAGAAGCCTGACAGCCATGGGACGGTGGATGGACTTGAGGTGAAGGGCCATGCAGTCCACTGGGTGACAGTCACATTTGTATTCTAGCAAAATTGCTACTTGTCGACAGGGAGGGCAGCCTGTAGGAGAGCAAGAACAGCTCCAGAGGATGTACAGTGAAGGCGAGAGACTGGCAGCCTGGGCCAGGATGGTGGTGGACAGCAGAGAAAAACAGACACCTTCCAGAGATGCTAAGGTAGAATCGAGATGGCCTGGAAGCACACAGGCCTAAAAGATGGGAAAGAAGATGGAATCGAGACAGGGATTCGGGCTCAGGGACAAGAGTGGATGGTAGTTCCATGCACAGACATGGAGACCAGGGAGGTCAGGGGCTGGAAGTCATTCGGGGGAGATACAAGGCAGGTGGGGAGCTCCGGCAAGGATCCTGGGTGAGGCGTGAAGAAGGAAGCCCCTCTGTCTCCCCTGGGACAGGTTGCCCTGAATACTGAGGGCATGGGAGGTGGAGAAAAGCCTATGAGGGGCAGGAAAGCGGCCCCAACAGCAAAAAGAGGGAGTGTACCAAATCCAAGGTCAAGGGCAGGAAGGTGTCTGTCCTGAGAGAAAGGTCTCCATCATTCAACGCTGCACAGAGGCGAAGGAAGATAAAGCCTGAGCAGCATTGGTAGGATTTATCAGCAAAGGGACTGCTGATGACTTTGGGGAGACCAGTGTCAGTGACTTACAGGGAGAAAAACGAGGTCACAGGGGATCAACAGGTAAGTGGAGAGAATCGTAAGAACGTCTGTACGTTAAACAATTCCAGAAAAGATTCTGGCTGTGAATGGGGCTCAGGAGTTGGAAAGAAGGTGTTAAGCTGAGAGAGACCTGTTAAATGCTGACGGTGGGGAGACTGACTGAGGGACAAGGTCGGAGCAGGGGATGATAGGAGGCCCGGGGCCGAGACCCCCACACAGCCAGGAGAGGTCTCCTTCCGAGAGGAAGAGGGACAGGAGAGAGGCAAGTGTGAGGGGATCAAAGGTAGGAAGTGAATTGTGGATGTCCAGACACAGGCCATGGGCGGGGAAACAAAGGCCTCCGTGAGGTCGGCTGGGCTGGGTTACAGACTGGACAGCAGAAGCCAACAGCGTGAAGGTGGCGGCGGTCATCCCTGGATGAGGGTGGACAACGGAGACCGCAGGCATGGACACCTCCACGGAGGTGGTCAGGAGGGGCCTTCCGCAGCCACAGCGGGACCTGCGGCTCCTTGGAGAGGCAGACTGAGGTCCCAGGGACACACAGGAGGGGACATGGCACCCGCTGAAGACCAGGCTTAGTGACCGGCCGTGCACCAAACAGGAAACCGCTGGCCGGCTTGCCTCGGTCCCCGGAATGCCGCGGCCTGCACGTGCTCCCAGGCAGTGGGCAGGAGGAGCCCGTGTAGGGAAACCGAGTAACCACAGTGGAAGCCCAGCAGGGTCCTGGCCACGAAGTGCACGTCGGGCGAGAGGCCCAGACTCCGGGTTGTCCGTCAGTTTCTGAAGTACAAATAGATCACAAAGAACCAACCATACCCTCAGGTCACCTGGACGGGCAGCGACAGAGCAGGCCCTCCAGAACTCGGCACCTTCAGCACAGGAAGGGACACACAAAACAGGGCAAAGCTGGAAACACTGGAAATGCTCTTTATTTTTATTTTTTAAAATTTTAATGTTTTATTTATTTCTTTTTTTTCTTTTTTTATGTTTTATTTATTTCTAGGAGAGAGAGAGACAGCGTGAGCAGGGGAGGGTCAGAGAGAGAGGGAGTCACAGACTGAAACAGGCTCCAGGCTCTGAGCTGGCAGTCAGCACAGAGCCCGACGTGGGGCTCGAACCCATGAACCGCAAGATCATGACCTGAGCGAAAGTCGGACGCTTAACCGACTAAGCCACCCAGGCGCCCCTGTTTTATTTAATTCTGAGGTGGGGGGCAGCGTGAGTAAGGGAGAGTCAGAGAGAGAAGGAGACACAGAACCAGAAGCAGGCTCCAAGCTAGCTGTCAGCACAGAGCCCGATGCGGGGCCCGAACCCGCAAACCGCGAGATCATGACCTGAGTTGAAGTCGGACGCTTAACCGACTGAGCCCCCCAGGCACCCCTGGAAATGCTCTTTGAAACGGTATCAGGAAAACTAGAAAAGATCAGAGAGAGAAAGTTGAGAAATTCTCCGAAAAGTATAACCAAAAATGAGCGAAGAACCAAGAAAGGAAATAGCAAAATTCTAAGGTCATTCTAGTAACCTCAGAATGAGAAAACAGAGTGGGGAGAAACTGCCCAAAGAGAATCACTAACGAAACATCCCAGGACTGAAAAAGTCCAGCTTGTCCTGGGAAGGGCCCACCTTGAGTGGAGCGGTTCCAGCAAGGCACATCATGATGGGTGGCGCCGCTCGGGGACTGAGAGTGCCCGGATGGCTGGTGGGGGACGGAGTGGGACGCGGGAGGGTGCCAGCCCCTGTGAAGGGAGGGCCCATGATTTGCAGGTGCAGAGTTGTGAGAAGTATACCTTCACAGGGAAGGGTGTTCTTCACAGGCTTCAGGAAACCGGTCTCTGAGGAGGGGCCTCTGAAGGCAGAGAGCGCCGTCCCCGAGCACGGGCTGAGGCAGCATCGCCCTTGGGGGGTGGCCCAGGGTCATCCAGGACCCGTGGGTGTCCCTTGAGTTATGAAGCACAAGGGAGGTGGAAAGCAGCTAAAGCCTGGGCCACATGTGAAAGTTGGTGTCCAGGGCTCAGGTCACCACGGGCTGAGGGTGATGGGGAGCTGCGTTTGAGAAGTGCTTCTGGAGGGGGCCCGTGGGGAGGCTGGGGCAGGGCGTGGGCCGGGACAGTCTCCAGTGAGGGCCCCTGGGCGGGGAGGTGGGGGGTTGAGGGGAGAAGAGGCGCCTGGGCTGTGACCTTGGGCATCAGGCCATAAGGCCCCTGGGACGGCCAGATGCACGGGGTGAGGGTGTCCTGGGGAAGGGCAGAGGTCTGGGTCCTCAGCTGTGAGGGTGGCGGCGAGCACAGAGTGGCCTGATGGGGACCCGGGGCCAGGAGAAGCTCCAAGAGAAACTTGTGTCGGGAGGTTCAGGCTGAGGACAGGGGGCCTTTGCGATGCGGGGCTCAGTGTGAAGGGAGGAAGTGGCCCCAGGGGAGGTCCAAGCAGAAGCAGGTGCCACCCCCAGCCCCGCCCGGGGAGGCTGTGGGGCAGGTAGGAGCCCTCGGCTCCCTGCCCGGGAAGGGGTGGAGCGCCACACTCTTCTGGTGGCTCAGGGGCAGCTTTCTGGCTTCTGAGTTTCTGCCTCTTTCCAAATCCTTTGCCCTCGTGACAGAATAAATATCAGTCTTGTTTCAGTAACAAAAACGTGAAGGAGCAGGGAGGGTCTAGGTTGTGGCTCCTCCCTCCCCCACCCCAGGGCCCTGGTGGCCCAGAGCAGGACCTCTAACTTGGCTTCTTCTGGCTGTAGAACTTCTGGAGGTTCATATTCCGGAGGAATCTGCCACCGACCTCCCTCTGTCAGATGGACTTTGCTGTTCTGGGCCTCGGGGATTCCTCTTACGCCAAGTGAGTAGGGGCAGAAAGGCTGCTGGGCCACAGAGACTGTCCCCGGGGTTGGGCACAAAGTCCCGTGGAGGGACCGGTGGCCTGGCCCCAGGGCTCCGCCTAGACTTGGGCCGCGGCCAGGCTGTGGGGCCCACCGGGGAGCCCCTGAGGCTCGAAGGGTGAGCAGGGCACCGGCCCGAGGTCGGCAGGGCAGCGAGGTGGGGGCCAAACCCCGGGTAGCCCCGAGGTGTCTCCCGGGGCAGGAAGTGATGTCTGGGCCTGGACGTCAGGGGCCTCGGCCAGCACCACGGGCTGACGCGCGGCCTAGGCCGGCAGCGCTACAAGAACATGCAGCCAGGAGGCATTTGGGCTCACAAAGAGCACAGGGAGCAGCACGCTGGGATTGCGCAAGGGCCCCAGGGGCCGCGCAAGGCCGCCCCGTCCCTGGGCACGGACGGTGGTGGGACCGCCTCGGCCTGTTCTCTCCGGTTTTCAGGGCCTGTCTCCACCTTAAGCCGAGAACGATGTTGCTTTGCGTTATTTCTTAAAGAAGCACCGAGGACTTTCCAAGGGTGTACGCGCCACTGGCTCACTGAAATGGTGCAGCGCGGGGGCCGGGAGGCGGGGTGCTGGGTACCAACACCTCCAAGCAGACACAGCAGGAGCGAACCGTGCCTGCTGGTGAACGGGGCAGCACACCACTCGTCTACCTGGGGTTTTGTTCTCTGTACAACACAGACGGTGGTTCACGGCAGCACAGACACAGGCACGTTGCCAACAGCGCTCTCTGGGAGGGTGTCATTCGAGGCCCGGGGTCTTCTGGCGTGGGCTCCTTCGGGGCTGCTTCCCCTTCACCCTCCATCCGGGGCCTGCCCAAGCCTCGCTCACTCTCTGTAGGTTCAATTTCGTGGCCAAGAAGCTGCACCGTCGGCTGCTGCAGCTCGGGGGCAGTGCCCTCTTGCCTGCGTGCCTGGGGGATGACCAGCATGAGCTGGGGTGAGTGGAGTCGGTGGGAGGGGGGGAGCTCCTGCAATCCCAGGCAGGGGCCCCTCAGAACACTGTGCACACGCTCCTTCTCCAGGCCTGACGCCGCCATTGACCCCTGGCTGCATGACCTGTGGGAGAAGGTGCTGCGGCTGTACCCCGTGCCCCCTGACCTTGGCGTGATCCCCCCCGGAGTCCCGTGAGTGTGGGCCTTGCTGTGGCGCCCGCAGGGACAGCAGAGCGGCCTGGCCGCGGGGCCACTCGAGGGCCTGCCGACGGCCTGACTGGTGTGTGCCCCTCCCTACAGTGTGCCCTCCAAGTTCACCCTCCACTTCCTTCCGGAGGCCCCCGGGATGCGCTCTGAGGAGCAGCGTGTGGCCTGTGTGGACCCCCCCGGTCCCCCTTCAGAGCGGCAGCCCTTCCTGGCACCCATGGTCACCAACGAGAGGGTCACTGGCCCCTCTCACTTCCAGGACGTTCGGCTGATCGAGTTTGACATCACAGGCTCTGGGCTCAGGTGAGAACCCCAGACACCAGGTGGGCTGTGGCCAAGGGACAAGGGGGCGGGGGGAGGTGGGCGGCTGGCTGAGCTGCAAGGAAACACGTTCATCATCCAAGGACCCCCAGCCCTCCCCTGACCCCCCAGTGCCCTGCCCACACTCTCCCTCACCTTCCACAGCTTTGCGGCTGGCGATGTGGTGCTGATCCGGCCCCAGAACCAGGCAGGCCACGTCCAGCAGTTCTGCCGGGTGCTGGGCCTGGACCCCGACCAGTACTTCACGCTGCAGCCCCGGGAGCCGGGTGAGTCCCAGGACCTGGGGGAGCCTGGCTGCGGCCTCCCTCCCTCTCCACCCTCCCAGGGCCCGCGGCCTGCGCAGCGTGTCCCGACCCCCCACAGGCTCCCTGCCTCCTGCCGCAGGTGTCCCCTGCCCGGAGCAGCTGCCCCAGCCCTGCTCCGTGAGGCACCTCGCGTCCCACTACCTGGACATCGCCAGCGTGCCCCGCCGCTCCTTCTTCGAGCTCCTGGCCTGTCTCTCTCCCCATGGGCTGGAGCGGGAGAAGCTGCTGCAGCTCAGTGCCCCCCAGGGCCAGGAGGAGCTGTATTCGTACTGCCGCCGGCCACGCAGGACCGTTCTGGAGGTGAGGGCAGGCACGGGCGGGCGGGCCCAGGGCTCTGAGCCGCAGCCGCGTGTGGCGTGCTGGCCGGAGCCCAGCTGGGGCTATCTGTGCCCAGGTCTTGTGTGACTTCCCGCACACGGCTGGAGCCGTTCCCGCAGACTACCTGCTGGACCTCGTCCCCCCGATGCGCCCGCGGGCCTTCTCCATTGCCTCCTCTCTGCTGGTGAGGGCCTGTCCGGCTCGGGCAGCGCCGGGGTGGCCTCAGGGATGTGGGACTGCGGGGGCGGGGGCGGGGGCACCCGACCCTCAACATCTGCCCCACATCCGGGACTACCCGGGGTGAAGTGAGCGGAGCTGAAGCCGGGTGGCAGGCAGGGGCGGCCCCGTGCAGCAGGGCACCCACCGTCCCATCCCCAGGCTCACCCCTCGAGGCTGCAGATTCTCGTCGCTGTGGTGCAGTACCAGACACGCCTCAAGGAGCCCCGCCGGGGCCTCTGCTCCTCCTGGCTGGCATCTCTGGATCCTGGGCGAGGTGACCCCTGCTTTCTGGAGGGGGGGGGGGGATAGAGCACTGGGCCAGCCCCTCCGCCCCCCCGCCCCAGGCTCCACGGCCAGGTCTGGACTAGAGCCCTGGTCCTCAGAGCCTCTTCATGCCTCCTCCGTCCCGCCAGGACCTGTCCGGGTGCCTCTGTGGGTGCGGCCTGGGAGCCTCGCCTTCCCGGAGACACCAGGCACACCCGTGATCATGGTGGGCCCCGGCACCGGCGTGGCCCCTTTCCGAGCAGCTGTACAGGAGCGGGTGGCCCAGGGTCAGACCGGTGAGCACCCAGGGTCTAGGGCAGGGTGGCAGCTGGGGCTGACGAGGCCGGGCCTCACAGGCCTGTGATCCCCCAGGAAACTTCCTGTTCTTTGGCTGCCGCTGGCGCGACCAGGACTTCTACTGGGAATCAGAGTGGGTGGAGCTGGAGAGGAAGGGCTGCCTGACGCTCTTCACGGCCTTCTCGCGGGAACAGGTGTGTGTGCCGGGCGGGGAGGGGGCCAGGACGCCCAGGACACCGATACACCGGCTCCAAGCCCTGCCCCTGCCCCCGCCCCGTAGGAACGGAAGGTATACGTGCAGCACAGGCTCCGGGAGCTCGGGCCGTTGGTGTGGGAGCTGCTGGACCGCCAGGGCGCCTACTTCTACCTGGCAGGGTGAGCCTGGGCCACGGGGGGGTGAGGAGGGGCTGGGAGCCAGCCCTCCGGAGGCCCCAGCCACGCTGAGCCCTCCTGGCCTGTCCCTCCAGCAACGCCAAGTACATGCCAGCAGATGTGTCCGAGGCCCTGACGTCCATCTTCCAAGAGGAGGGTGGGCTCTCCGGCCCTGATGCAGCCAGCTACCTGGCCAGGCTCCAGCGGACGCTGCGTTTCCAGAGTGAGACGTGGGCCTAAGAAGCCATCCTGCCGGCCTTGGCCACTCTAAACACTGCCTTCTGGGGGCCACTGCCGCCTTCTCCCCTGTCCCCTGCACGGCCTGTTTCCCGTCAGCCTGGGGTCCCATGCTCAGCCCGGACATCGCTGCCCACTCACCACCCTACCCTGCCTCCATCCAGGGTGGCAGTCTACTGCTGGCCTCTCCCCGCTGGCGCCAAGCTGGCTCCCGGTCAGGATGGCCCCTGGGCTGCACCACCCTGCGTCCGGACGGGGCCCAGGAAGGAAAGGGCAGCCTGAAGGGCATTGGGGGCTCCCCAGACACCAGCTTCCAGACAACACAGGAGTCTGGCGAGCCTTCCGAGGTGGTCCTGGGGTACAGCAGGTCCCCAGCCCCCCTCTGCCACATCTCTCTGCCCTCCCACAAAGTATGCGGTGCTGTCTCAGGGCCTCCCAGGGCCAGGGCCAGGGCCAGGGCCAGGGCCAGGGCCGGAAGGCACCGAGGACCAGAGGAGACCCCCTGCTGGTACACTCTTTCCTCACCCGTTCCCTGGAGAGCCTCCGTAATAAACTGTGGGCTCTGGGTGGCTGTTTCTGACCTGCTCTTCCTTGTGCCTGTCTGGGCTCCTCAGGGCGTGTGTGGGCCCCCAGCGGGTCTGGGTGGGGACAGCCGTTCCTGGAGGGCGCAAGCAAGCGCACCATTGCTCAGCCGTCTTTGCTACCAAAGTTCGGGGTCTGACTCTCCTGCGATGTGTGCCGGCTACCTGCCCACGCTGTGCGTGCTCTGCCCGGACTCCGACAGGCGGGGGGCAGCCTGCGTGGGCCCTGGAAGGAAGGGCGAGGGGAAGCCCTGGAGGGCGCGCTCCGACCGTTCCTTCCCAGCCCCGCAAGCAGCATTCCTTCGTGGGTCGGAAGTGGGGGCGGGGCCGCCCCGTCCCCGCCCCCGGGAGGGGCCGGCGTGCTCCGAGGGGAATTCCTGAAGGAGGAGCCACGCCGCCCGGAGTCCGGCCGCCTGTCCGTCTGCTGCGGACACAGGTGTGGGCCGCGGCCACGACTGGGCTGGGGCAGATCCTGTGAAGACAGAGCCTGTGAAGACGGCACGCGACGGCCCAGGAGCTGCCCGGAGCCGGCACAAGCGCTGGGGCCCAGCTGAAGTTGGCTTTCCAGGCTGGCGCGAGCCCACGGCAGTCTTGAGGTCAGTGCCAGACCCTGCCCTCACCCAGAGGGGCACACTGACCTTCACGGCCCCAACCACCCTCGTCACCACCCTGGGGACCCCACCCACTCATCCTGACTCCTGCCCTGAGGCCCCCATTCATGGCCCCTGTGAGCTCCGTGCCGGGCTCCCCAGCCCACCTTCCACTTCTCTGGGCCCTGAACGCCTGGCGCCCCCGCACCCAGGACTGGCAGATGAAGAGGGGGACAGCAGGGTTCTTGGGAACACCCAGGGTGCAGGGACTCAAGACAGTGAACCCCTCCTGAGGGCCACAGCCACAGCCTGCCCCTGGGCTGAGAGAGCAGGGGAGGAGAGGGAGCCAGCCGGGGGACCGAGCCAGGAGGAATGCCCCATCTGCACAGAGCCCTACGGGCCCGGTGAGCACCGCCTGGCCCTGCTGAACTGCGGCCACGGCCTGTGCGTGGACTGCCTGCACCAGCTGCTGGGCACGGCCCCCGGCACCGAGCTGGGCCGGGTCTGCTGCCCGCTCTGCCGCCAGAGGACACCCACGCTCGAGTGGGAGATCTGCCGGCTGCAGGAGGAGCTGCTGCAGGCGGACGGGCCCCAGAGCCCACGGCCCCCCACGCCCCCCGCACCTCCCCGCCGCGGCCCCGGGCCCTGGGCCTCCCTAGAGCACCGGTACCAGCTCCGCTTCCTGGCAGGGCCTGTGGGTGGCCAGGGTTGCCTGCCCTTCCTGCCCTGCCCGCCCTGCCTGGGCGCCCGCCTCTGGGCCCTGCGGGGACGAGGGCCCTGTGCCCGCCGCCTCGCGCTGCTGGGCCTGCTGGCCCTCGAGCTGCTGGGCCTGCTGCTCATCTTCACGCCGCTCCTGCTGCTGGGGCTCCTCTTCGTGCTGCTGGAGCGCGCCGGCCGCTGAGCAGGGCCCGTCACACCTGCCGCCAGGGCCGCCGATGGGCCTCCTGAGGCCTGATGACACCAAGCTGAAAAACCCAAGACCAAGTGGGGACTAGCCTTCAATCAAAACCAGCTCTGGGGCCCACGCCTACCCAGGACCCTGTGTTCAGCCTCTGACTGAGCCAGAGACTTCCTCTCCTGCTGCCCAGATGCTGCCGACGCCCAAGCGCAGCGCTGGGAGCTGGATGAGGTCTGCAGCCAGGGCCCCAGGCACCCCTCGATGGAAGGGCCCCTTACTGACATGGAGCCATCTTCGCCCCATCTCCCTGCCCCGCCCGGCCTGTCTGCAAGAGGGGCCCAGCGGACACGAAAATGAACGGAGAGGTCTGGTGGTGAGGTGACTCCTTGAAGAGAGTGGGGCCCTGGGGGCAGGCCCCCCGACCTGGTCCACGTTCCAGATAAGGGCCAGTGTGATTCCCTGAAGGACAGGGCACAAGAGGGGAGGGGCCCTTGCCGTGGAAGCCCAGGCCACAAACAGCTTCCTCACTGGCTGGGTCAGGACCCAAGGGGGCGGTCCCCGAGCGGCCGAGTGTCCTGAGCTGCATGGAACAAGGGCCCAGCTAGGCCTCGGAGCTGCGGAGCGCTGAGCTGAGGCCCGAGTGCCCTCCAGCCTCGTGTCATTGAGCCCTTTATCTAAAGGACAGACACAGCACGACCTCACGGGCCTGTGCCGTGCCCAGCACAAGCAGTGGCCCTCAATACACAGCGCTGCTACTTAGACCGCTGTTGCTGTGTTCTTGTTGTCTTCACCCCTTCTTCAGCATCTGGCGACTCTCCCCAGCCCTTCCCTCCTCCCCCCTCCACTGCAAAGGTTCTTCCCCAAATCCAGGCAGTGACGTACGAGCTAGAAGGCCCCTGAGTCCTCCTACCCCACCACGATCTCAGCCAGTCTTGGTCTCAGCCCGGGCTCAGGTTGGCTCAGAGGCCAGTCCCATTCAACTTCAGAGGGTCTGGCGGGCACCAGAAGCCTGATGGACTGAGGTGTCCCCCATACAGCTGCCCCCACATCCAGCGGCCAGTGCAGAGAACGTGCCCGCCCTTTGCCCATTCTGCACATCTGCCCACACTAGCACACACAGAAGGCTGGCTCTGCACAGACGTGCGGGGCATTCACGTGCACACACACAGCCAAGGACAGCCCTTCCGAGTGGCGTGCCTGGCCCAGCCTGGCCCCTCCCTGGCAAACAGAGCAGGCTGACCCCAAGAGGCACGGGGCCTCCCTCTGGTGGCTCCAGGCCAGACCCTGTCTGGGCTGCAGCCCCGGGCCCAGGCCGCAAGAGCAGGCTTCAGTCCAGGGAACAAGGTGCAAACTTTGGCAAAGAGTTTTAATGGCAGAGTTGTTTGCAGCGACAATGCCACACGGGGAGGGGCCAGAAGCTGTGGTGGGCGAGGGGTCAACAGGCGACAGGGCAGGGCCGGATCCCTGAAGAAGCGGCGAGCAAGGACTGGCGGGCAGCGGCGAGCGGGTGGGTGCTACATGATGGAGCAGGCGGACAGCGGATTCCGCACGTGGCAGGTGCACGCGGCCCCACAGTACTGCCGGAAGGTCTGGTAGCAGCTGCCCTCCGGCTCGCCCCCCCACTGGCCCCCGGACGGGGCGGTCAGCGCCTCGGGTGGCAGGCGGCTCAAAATGGACGTGTTGACGGCTAGTGCGGCCAGGCCGTAGTCAGTGAAGAGCACAGTCTCCCGGCGGCAGGTGGGACAGGAGATGAACTTGTACTTGGGGCAGGACTCATAGAGAATCTGCAGGCACTGCTCACACACAGAGTGCAGGCAGGACAGCACCCGGGGCCGCCGCTGGGTGACGTTGTACGTGTGCCCGCAGGTGGGGCACTCCAGGGGCTCACCTGTAGCCGGGGCCGCCGTGGCAGGGGCCCCGGACGCGGCAGGGCCAGGCCGCACCACATACTGATTCACAATGACCTCGTCCGCTGGCGCCACTCGGGGGAAGCCCAGCTCCACACTGCCCTTTCGGGGCCGCCGTGGCAACGGAGGGGTGCGGGGCGCCCCATCTAAGGCGGGCATGTCCCCCCCACATGCCTGGTTGACGATGATCTCTGTGTCTGAGGGCCAGGCGCGTTTGGGTGCCAGAGCAGGGGTGGGCCTCGGTGCAGGTGGGAAGCAAGGGGCAGCCGCCTGCAGCTCAGGGAACTTCTCAGGGTGAACAATCTTCATGGCCTCCATCTTGAGGATGACATGGGGACCCTTCAGGCAGGACATGAGGAGGCCCGGCCAGCCACTGCCCACCTCGGGCCCAGGGTCAGCCGGCATCCGGCTGTCTCCAATCAGATTGGGTGCTCGGGTGGGCGGGGGCGTTGGGTGAGGCCGGGGAGGAGGAGAGGGAGCAGCATCCCGGTCCTGCCAGGCCTGGTGGGGACCCCGGCCGCCCCGAGGACTCCTGGGGGCGGCCGGCGAGAGCTGGGGCGGCAGGGCCCCCCCCAGTGGCCACAGTGGCTTCTCTGGTCCAGTCCTAGGAGGAGGAGGGAGGGGTGGGGGAGGAGGAGGGAGGCGGGGGCAGGGGAGTATAGGAGGCTGCCCTGGGCTGCAGGTCTGGCCCAGGGGCTCACCCAGGGTCTCTGGCTGCTGAGGCTGGCGAGGGGGCGTGGGGGGAGCTCCCCCTGCAGCCGAGGTCAGCAGTCCCTGAGCAGGGACATCCGGGCAGGCAGGGGCTAGGTGGGCCCCATGGCTCCAGGACAGGGCGCCCAGGGAAGGCAGCTAGCCTGAGCCCAGGCTGCAGGAGGCCCCAGGCCGCGGGCTCGGCGGCGGCGGGAGCAGAAGAGCGGCCTGGACCAGGCCCGAGCTGCAGGTGAGAGACAGCGTGAGGGCAGCGCCCGGGGCCCACCCTCACCCTGCACAAAAGACAGGGCTCCCGACCTCTGACCCTCACCCTCGCCGGACTTGGGACCCGGCCCCCTTCCCAGCCCCCGCCCCCAAGGCCCAACCCCCGCCGGGGTGGGAAGGGGAGGCGAGCCGCGACCCCGCGGCCGTCCCGCCCCGCCCCGCCCGAGCTCACCTGCCCCAGCCTGGCGTCCCCGGGCCGCGCGCCGCCGCCGCCGAGGTTGTCTCAAAGGCAGGCCCGGATGCGACGCCCGCGCCTCGGCCCCGCGGCTCCGGCGGCTCCGGCGGCTCCGGCGGCGACTTCGGGCGATGGCGCGGCACGGCGGCTCCCAGGGGCGCGGGGCGCGGGGCTCCGGGCAGCGCGGCGCGGCGGCAGGTGCGTGCGGAGCGTGGCGCGCTCTGCGGCGGAGGCGCGGGGACCGCAGTGCGCGCGGCTCCCGCCCGCGCCCGCAGCGCCACCCCCCGTCTGGGGACCCGCGCGGGGTCCGCGGGGCGGGGCCAGTCTCTCAGCCGCCCCTCCATCGCCTCGGGCCTGGCGCCGGCTCCCGGGGTTGCCCTTCCCCGCGGGCCGCGTGTGAGTCAGGACCCCCGCGTCACCCCTTTCCAGGACCCCCACCCCAGTCCTGCTTGGCCGACCCTGGGTCCAAGTCAAGTACCCCCACCCCCAATTCTAGAAGGGAAATCCTGTTTTCCCGAGCCCGAGGCCTCACAATGCCAGAGGGAGGAAGACAAGAGGAGCAGAGTGGTGGTCTCAGCAAAGCTGGTGCCCAGAGCCCCAACCGGGGGGGCTGCCCTGTGTCCGCCCAGAGAGTCGGGGTCTCTGCTGTCCCTCTACTGTGCCCCCAGTAGGATGCCTCGGGCTCACAGGTGTACCCAGGTTGTGCTCAACGCTGACAGGCTCAAAGAGGGTGATGTGACCATGAGGCTGAGCAGATGTGGGCAAGCAAGATATCAGAGGAGCGAATGGAGAGGTGGACAGTCGTTGGCAGAAGGCTCCAGGACAGGACTGACGGACAGATGGACGGGGTGACGGGTATGCGGAAGGTCAGACAGTCAGCGGGGCAGCCCATGGAGGACATGCACCTGCCCAGGGTGGGGTGGCCTTTCCGGCATCCCAGCAGGTCAGCACGTGCCCTGCTGTCACGTATTTGTGTGCTAAGCTGACCCCACCCAGCATGGAGGCCTCATTCCTTTCTGCTTCCTCAAGCCAGGCTTCCCTGCTTCCCTGGGGTCTACCCTCTGCCTATGGGGAACCCTCAGGCGCGAGAAAGGACAGAGGACGTGTCGGCAACTACCGGGCAGGGGACCACAGCTGACCCAACCCAGCTGCGGCGTGGCATGCTGGCTGGCACTCCCGTGACCGGCACCGGGCCCTGTGCTGACCCTGGACAGTCTCAGCCCCTTCTGGCCACAGCCCCGCTGCTCGGAACAGGCCCCACTGCACCGGGCTGCTGGCCGGGCCCCGCTCCTTCAGGGAGGCCGCTGCTCCTGGTGAGGAAGCCCAGGCGGGCAGAACAGACTGGAGGGGCGAGTCTGTCCCACGGGGCCTGACCTTGCTGCTGTGTGACCTCAGCCTACTGTCTGGGTCTGTTTCCAAAGCCACTGATCGCGAGCGGGCGTAGGAGGTGTGCAAGGGAGCAGGTGCCCGACGGGACGGGCAGCGAGAGCCTTATGGGCTCTGACGTGAAGACGGAGCAACGGAGAGGTCGCCGGTCAGGGGACGCCTGGGAGCCCAGCCTCAGCCTCCGGTTCGGATCCACGTCCCACCGGCCCGCTGGGCGCGCACCCCAGGAAGCGCCAGCCACCAAGCCCCGCCCCTTCCCGGAGGCCCCGCCCCTGGAGCGAGGCCCCGCCCCTCAGGCCCTCCTCCCCGAGCGCGCCCAAATCCGCGCCCCCGGAGCTCGGGTGGTCGGAGCTGAGCGGCCTAGGCCGTGTCCTGGACCGTCCGAGGCCAGCGGACCCCGAACCAGGTCTTTAGAGAAACCTTCGGGCGCGGAGGCTTCTGGGGAATAAAGTTCCCACCGGCCACCCCAGGCCTGCTTCACGCATGCGCCAGCCGCCGCCTCGCAGCAAGGGGCGGGGTCTGCAGGGGCAGTGGGTGGGGCTTCTGGAGCCTGCGCGCTGAGCCTCCGTCGTACACCTGCGAAGGACGCGGGTCTGGGGCCCGCTTCTCTGCACGCCCGGTGCCGCGACGGTGGGTCTCGTGTCTGGACCGGTCTCACTGGCCCCATGCAGCCCACTTCGGTCACCCTGGCCTCTGGGCCACCTCTGATTTGATCCCGCCGTTCCTGGGGGGTTCCCTTGGGCACCAAGGACTGGGGGTGCGAGTCCTGGCCCCACCCTACTGCCCAAATCACTGCGAGGGGGGCAGATCACCAGCGCCAGGCCCAGACCCAAGCACTCACACCCATTGTCACCCCTCCCCCCGCACGGTGACCCTGCGTGGCAAGTGCTGCCTGCCACCTCACAGATGAAAGCGGGAGACGCGGGTGGGGTGGGGAGCTGGAGGTCCCTGAGAGAGCCAAGGGAGGCAAGCTGCATTTTCAGACATGAGCTACAAAGGTCCCTTGTGATGAAGCCCCTGTCTTTGCCAATTGTAAGATCAGTTTTAGCAAAGGTGTGTAAATAAAACATTTTTTATCGGTCAGAAGCCTACAAACCTTGGAGCAGTCTGTGCTCTCAGACATCGTGGCCTCTGTCTGCCAGGGAGAGGCTGTTGGCTGAAGTGAGGACTTCTGCCCTCTGCCTCAAAACAGGGGTCCTGAGGTGTGCGAGCGATGGCCGGGGTTCCCAACCCCCCCCCCCCGCCCCAAGCCTGGGAGCTGAGGCTGACTTCAGGCTCCGCTCCTGCCCTCCCTCCTGGTGAGCTGCACGTCCTGGGAAGGCTGACGACGTGCCTCAGATGCATGGAGGCTGAGTCACCCGGGCTGGCAGTGCCCCTCGGAGCCCGGGCTTGGGGCCCCCACCCACCTGAGAAGGAAGGGTGGGTGGCTATGGGGCTGGAAGAGCTGAAGCCTCCTGGGATCTTGGGAACCCCATCTTTGAACTCCGCCCCACGGCCCCTCCCCTCCCCAGGAGGGAAAAGGCAGCTGCCAGTTGCCTGCCTCATAGGCACTGGGACCTGGCCCACAGGAGGAGAGGGGACCTCGCTGCCATCAGTACCGCAGGTGGGTCCTGGGCTGAGGGGCTTCCCTGCACTGGGGCTCAACCACGGGGACAGCCTAGCCACCCTCCCAGCCTCCCTGCCCCATCCCCCCCCCCGCCACGCAAGGAGGGCAGCTGGGAGACCTCGGCCCTCACACACATCTCACTCCCGTGCGCATGCACACTAGCCTCGTACACCCTGGCGTCTCCACAGCCTGGCTCTTTGCAGGGTGGGCACTCTCTTGGGGTGCAGCTCTGCCCCTCCACTGAGCTGATACCGTCTCCTCTGCCTGCCTCTGCCAGGCGGGGCCATGGATCCGCATGAGACGGTCGTCAAGAACCCGTATGCCCACGTCAGCATCCCTCGGGCTCACCTGCGGCCTGATCTGGGGCAGCAGCTGGAGGCGGCTCCCTCTTCCCGGGGGTCACAGCCTCTGCCTGTGGGGTCCTGCGCCTCAGAGCCCACCGGGCTCCTGCAGCCCACCGAGGAGGCCCCAGGGGGCAAGGGGGCCGCCCAGACCCAGGGCCAGCAGACCCGGCAGCAGCCCTGCAACCCCTACGGCGGCGCGCAGCGGCCGGCGGGACTGACCTACAGCGGCCTGCCGCCCGTCGGGCGCGGGGATGACATCGCCCACCACTGCTGCTGCTGTCCGTGCTGCTCCTGCTGCCACTGCCCTCGCTTCTGCCGCTGCCACAGCTGCTGCTGCGTCATCTCCTAGCCCGGCCCCTGCCGGTCCGAGGGACCTGCCGCAGGACCCCGACATGGCCCGGGCAGCCACTGGCCCGCTGTCATGGGCGCTGGCCGCTTTCCACCTTGGATAGGAGCATCCACCTGCCAAGGAGGCCAACGGCCCAGCGCTGGCCCCTTGAAACAGCCCTGGGCACTGGCTGTCACGGCGGGCCTGGGGACACCCTTGACCACCTCCCTCAGGGCCCACGGCCCTGGCAATAAAGCAGAGTGACCTTTGTTCTGGTGACTCTTCTCCGCTGCTGCCCCCCTGAAGCGGGTCCCGGGCTGAACACAGCCGCCGGCCTGAGCCCCTGTGGGCCATTCAGGGAAGGGGAGGCCGCTGATGACATTCTAACCTGCGCTGCAGGTCTCCAGTCCACCCTGAGGCTGGACGGGGGGTGGGAGTGTGTCCCCTGTTCGGGCCCAGCCAGGCCTGGCTTCAAGCTACCTTGAATTCCCTAGGGCTGAGGCCAAGCCTGAGAGACAGGCCGGTCAGTGGGCCAGAGGGTAGGAGGCTGCAGTGTGCGGAGCCGGCGGGCGGAGCCCGGAGGAAGGCCTGCAGGAGGCCGTGCTGGCGGGACCGTGGCGGGTGGGACTGGCGTTGGCCAGCTGCTCGGAGTGGGAGCCCAGGCAGCCGGGACCAAGCCCTGCCCGCCCGTGAGTCACTGCCCTGCCTCGGCCGGGGTGTTTTTCCGGTTCCCCGTGAAGCGTCCTATTCCTGAACGTCTGCTGTGCGGCACCCAAGCCATGCTGCTCGTCTGGTGTCCGGCCTCCAGGGCCTGGGCCTCCCGGACGAGGTGAGCAGAGAAGGGGCTGGCCAGTGAGGGCGCTCGGGGGACAGGTGTCCCCTCCGTCTGGACCGAGCAGCGTGCCATGCCTGCCTGGGGGGCGTGTGCAGAGCTGAGCTGCTCGGTGCTGTCATCACTCGCGGCCGGTGGGGGAGGCGGGGAGGCCAGGGCAAGGACTGAGTGGCAGGGCCACGCCAGAGGAGGAAGCCGAGCTGGCCTCGCCGGCCGGCCGGGTCCTGGCCACCCAGGGTGACTGGCCACAGGGCGAGACCCGTGTGTGGGTGAGTGGGTATGCCACTGGCCTGAGTGTACAGGGGCTCGGGTGTGCCGGTTTCCTGGCCCCTGCCCCGTGGCCTGCCTCTGAGAGGCTGACCCCACCCGGGGCAGCTACAGAAACCCGTTCCACCAGTCAGAGAGGCTGCGGACTGCCCGGACTGCCCGGGTGGTGGGAGTAGGGACTTCCTCCCAGCGGAGCAGCGAGGGGCCCGAGGGGCCTAATCCCATCCTGACCATTCTTGACACACTCCGTTCTGCTGCGCCCACAGCCATGGTCACTGGGCTGGCCTGGGGGCTATGGCCAGGCAGATGCTGGTGGGGGGGGGGTGTAGCCTCTGATGAGGGCGACCGGGGCTAGCCACAGCGCCCTGCACCTCAGGGAGCTTCTGGGTGGTCCCTGGGTGTGAGGGAGGGTCTCCACACCTGTGCTTGAGCACCCCCTTGGGGACTCGTGGGGCTGGCCACTGCCCTATGGTGGGGACGGAGGGGACAGACCAGGTGGGAGGAGGATGCCGGGACGACTTGGACACACACACTGTGATTGAGCTTCGGGGGGCAGGACCCCTCAGGGCTTGGCGCCGGGAGGGTCCGGGCACGTTGCCGGGAAGAGGCAGTGCTCGAGCTGGGAGCTGAGGATGGAGTCACACAGACCCAGGCTGGAAGGCGGTGGCGTTAAGAGGAGAGCGGCAGCGGGTCTGGGTGGCCAAGGTGGGCATGGGGGCTGTGGCGAGGTGTGGAGCCGGGCGCGCGTGGGGGCCCAGTGGAGCTGGGCTCGGGCATGAAGGGGCGGGGGCGCGGGGCTGAGGGCAGACTGGGTGGGGGTGAGGGGCGCCTTATCTCCTGCCGACTTGGTGCTGCTAGTGGATCCAGTTGCAAGCGCTTTGTGGCTGAAAGGAGAGCCCGCACCTGCCCGCAGCCGCCACCTGCCTCCCTGCTGACTCGCCTGTGCTCGGGGCCCCGTAATGCGAGCCCCAGGGAGGGAGCCGCAGGGCGCCCTGGGTCCCTCCCTCGAGCCCCGGACATCCTCTGACTGGGCAGTGCTGCCCAGCAGAGCCGATGCAGGTAAGAGAGGCCCGGGGCTTAGGCAGGCTGGGGGTGGGGTGGCCTGGAGCTGGGCAGGAGGGCCATGGAGAGCGACCAAACAGGGGCACAGGGTGCTGCCCAGTCGGCAGCGGCAGGAGCCCAGGCTGGGCCCAGACCCCGGCGTCTGGGGCCCGACTGGCCACCACCCACCCTCCGAGGTCGGCAGAGGCCCGGGCGCCCGCGCTCTGGGGCAGGCTCCTGGGGTCAGGGCCCAAACGGGCCCCGCAGAGGCAGGCAGGGTGGGCTGCAGCGGCCCTGCTCGCCTCCCCCAGGATGCTGCGGCCAGAGAGTTCCCGGGTCTCCGAGGAGGGGACAGCTGCTGGGAGCCGGCGCGGTGACTGCATCATCTGCTACTCGGCCTACGATCTCTCCGGGCACCTGCCGCGCCGCCTCTACTGCGGCCACACCTTCTGCCAGGCGTGCGTGCGACGGCTGGACACGGCGGCCCACGAGCAGCGCTGGATCCCCTGCCCACAGTGCCGCCAGAGCACACCCACGCCCCGGGGAGGGGTGGCCATGCTGGACCTCGACCTGGCCGCCTTCCTGGCTGTCAGGGCAGAGCGGGAGCCGGCTCGCGGGGAGCCCCAGCCTCCTGGGCCCCCCAAAGGCAGCACCGCCATCACTCGGCAGCCAGCCAGGCTCTGTCCCGCCTCGGGCACCCAGCCCCACTTCCCCCAGCCCAGACGCTGCTGTGGCTGCGACTGCGGCCTCTGCTGGGACACCCTGAGCAGTCCCGAGGTCTGAGTACCAGTGGCTGCCACTGCCGCCAGAGGACCTGCCGCCCACGGCTGGCCTGCCGTGGAAACTCCGACCCCCGCTCCGCCAGCCCAGAACGTCCTGGCCCCCACGCGGACACCCCTGGACCGCAGCCTAAGTGTGGGGGCTGCGCCCATAGTAACCGGCTACCTCCTGCCTGTCTTGGCCAGGATTCCGGGGCTTCAGGCTAGCCTGACTGTGTGCGGGGTGAGGGGTGCTGCACTCAGAGTCACCTGCAAGCCCAGTCCCCCAGGCCCGGACTCGGCTCAGAGGATGCCTCCATGGGTCTCTGCCTAAAAAGTCCCACAGGTGGGAGCCAGCGCAGAAAGCCGCCTCCCCACCCCCGGCTGGCAAGGCGTCCCTGTGAAGTCGGTTCATTCAGCAAAGCCCACTGAGCACCCACTATGTGTTGGGCACTGTTCTGGCAGGGTCCCCTGCAGGCGCAAAGTCCCTGCTGTGACAGCTGTCTGAGGAGAGGGCCCGGGCCCGGGCTAACCCTAGGCCCAGAGAGGGTGGGGGCCTGCCTGAGGTTGCACAGCTCAGTAGGAGCGCTCCCGCATTCGGCCTTTTCCTGGCCCTCAGCTGCCATCCGCCTCCCAGTGGCCACCGCACAGATCCCTCGGAGGCCCCAGAGCAGGTTCTGGACACAGACCCTCCCCCCGGCAATATCCCCATCCCCATCCAGAAAGAAGCTGTCACGCTGTCACTCAGGAGGCTCTGGGAGGGACTGCGGGGCCTGCTGGGCAGCGGGTGCAGGACAGGGGGGGACAAGAAAATTTGCTGAGAGGACACTCAGAAGCCTCCTCCTCCTCCTCCGGGGCAAAGTCCCCCAGGCACACCGCGATTGGTGGGCCGCAGCTGCCCCAGGGCGCCGCGGCCCAAGGGGGAGGGGCAGCAGGGAAGGGACCATCCCCAGAGGCAGCCACGAGCCACGGAGCCACGGAGCCAGTCAGGAGTGTCCTGAGGGAGGGGGCAGGACGGTTCGAGTCTGCTGGTCCAGGTGGCCCCCCGCCCCCGCCCCCAACTTGCAGACGGAGGCACAACGCCCTCCACCATCACCGCCCACCCCTGAGGCTGGGCCCAGCCCTGCCCTGGCCTGCGCGGGGCCTGACCTGTTAGACTTCAGGGGCTGGGGCTCCCCCCCCCCCCAGCTGGTGCAAAGGGCCTCGCTCCCACCCATCTGATGGGGTGGTCCGCAGAGCTCGGGGTGGACTTCCCAAAGGGCCCGCAGCCAACCAGCCAGAGCGCCAGCACCCTGCCCTGCCCTGGCCTGCCCGGGGCAGGCGGCACACAGTGTCTGGTCATGTCTCCCAGGGGTCTACCTGCGCTGGCCCCGCGCTCAGCCTGTGCCCCGCCTGCAGCACCCCCGGCCTGGCTCGGGGCCCATCCACGGAGAAAGCCCACTGGGAGAGGGCCGGGCTGGGCGCCCAGCGCAACGTGGACAAGACAGCCACCTGGGGCTGTGACAGGTACCCCTCGGGAGCCTCCACTCCTGGGTAAACATTAATGGGGCTCAGTGCACAGCAGGTCATGTGCGCACCCGGCGGATCTTTGACCGGGAGCTGCTCCCGCCCTGTGCTTCCTCCCCGCAGGTGCCCCCTCACCACCCTCACAGGTAGGAGCTTCCAGAACCAGGTGGGGCCCTGGGGACATCAGAACAAGGGCTGGGTGACCTCCTGGCCCAGGGCTCAGGCCCCACCTCCCCAGCTGAGGACGAGAGACAGGACGGAGGGTGACCGAAAGCTCTGTAGCACCTGGACCCTGGGGCCTGGGAGGGAGTTGGGGTAGATGACTAGACAGGGGATCCAGAGCCAGAGGGCTGGAGAGAGGAGCCTTGAGGTGAGGTGGGGGTGCCCAAGCCCCTTGCCCTGCCCCCATCACTGGGGGTGGGGCCCTTATCAGGCAGAGACGTCACCGTTTGGTATCAAATGCCAAAGTCTAAGCTGGGACCATCTGCAGCGTCCCCAATGACACCTGATAGGAGAGGTCCCCGGGTTCCCAGCTCTTAGCGACTTCCGGCACCCAGCACCCTGTGTCCTGGGCCACCCACCAAGTCTTCTTCCAGCCAGGACCAGCGAGGGAGCCAGGGAGCCAGGGCCCCCTTGACTCTGCCCCCCGAAACTGGACTGGGCTCGTCTGACAGCTGTCTGAGGTCACTATAGCCATCCCCCTGCAGATGGAGGAAGCGGGAAGTCAGCAAGGCCGGGGCTGAGGGGGGCTGGGGCGGGGGGACAGATCTCAGGTTAGAGGACCCCAGGACCTGGCAGGGCACGGGGAGGCTGTGTATCTGACCTGCTTTTCCCGCCCCCAGCAGATCCA